TGTGTGTGTGTGTGTGTGTGTGTGTGTGTGTGTGTGTGTGTGTGTGTGTCTGTCTGACCTCGTGCGCTCTGCAGTGGGGACGTAGTGGATCCTCGTCATGACCACCAGCGTCGTCATCATCATAATCATCATCACCTTCATCATCATCACCTTCATCATCATCATCGTTTTGACCATTTGGTGTGTGCTTGAGCCAGTCTATCTTTCTATATTGACTGTTGTACTGTGAGGCTGCGCTGTTGCCTGTTTGGGCGGCCGGCGGCTGTCTGCGTGTTTGTTTGTTTGTTTGTGTGTTTGCCTCTGTGTGTGTGTGTGTGTGTGTGTGTGTGTGTGTGTGTGTGTTTGTATGTGTAGCTGTGGGTAACTAACTGACCCCATTGTGTATGCTATTCATGTGTTTTTATGCCATTATATCTTTTCCTTCTGGGCAATGCCGTGTCGTGTCCTGTAACTGGATGTACAAGTGGATGTGTTGTAACCGTTCAGAAAGAGAGAGATAGTGTGTATGTATGTGTGTGTGTGTATATGTGTGCGCGTGTGTATGACAACTGTTCAATCTGATGTGTATACCGTGCAGTCTGCACTAGCTGCTTCGTTCATGTATATATACTATATAGGATGCATTTTTTATGGTTATACATTTTAATATATATATATTTCAGCACAGGAAAGAGAGACTGAATAGGTTTTGCTGCTCTCTCAGCGAGGGGAAGAAGGTTTTGAGAAATGAAGTTAGTCGTTAAAGTTTAGTGAAAGTGGGGCCAAAGTAGGTGTTTTTGAAATACCAGAAATTTTTAAAGAGTTAGGAAATAAAGAGGGAATTATTGGCAGACGTGGTCCTAAACCCCCCCAAGGGTTGATGAACAAAGTACTAGTGAGATGTTGTAGCTTTTCAAAAAAAAAGAAAAGAAACGGTTTGTTTTGTTAAACGTCGTAATTTTTTTCTCTCTCCCTATTTGAGGCCTTGTGGGATATTTTGTCACCAGTGCTCCCAGCTTATTTCATTCTATATCATGTATATCGGTGGTCCCTGTGCATTCACATATCTGGCTTCTGTACTTAATGGTAAATGTGCTTTGGTTCCAATCAAAATTCCTGTCCGTATATTCACTTCTATTTATAGACATAAGAAGTTTTATTAATTAAAGTCAAATTTAATGCATAATTATTGTTTATTAATTGTATGTGGCTAGTGTGCCGTTCGACAGTTTTAACGAGGAAGTGTGTAACTTTTTGCTTCGTTATTTCAACTCTCTTTCTCTCTCTC